CATAAATAGAAGAGTGTAGACACTTCCATGTATATTGCTAAAATATTTGCCACAGTAAAGAGGTCTGTTACATCTTAGTTTCATCAGCTTATCAGAGAACTGAGCATGAAAGAGTCTAATGCCAACAATAGGAAAATAAATGATTCAGTTCAAAATGTCACACATCTTTAATCCAAAACAGTGCTTGCAACATACTAGACACTCAATACATACGTACTAAAATGAATGAACAAACCTAATCAATATCACCACCAATAAGCACCTGTTGTCATACAGTTCTTCAATATCCAGAATATATTGTAGCATAGCATCATATAACCCTTAGAATCATGCATCACTAATTCACTCAACAAACAACTACCACTCTGACAACAGCTCTAAGCATGTATATTTTAAAGTCAAAGGAGTTCATCAAGTGATTTTTTTCGCCTAAGTTTTCCATTTTTTCCTTATTTTCTGGAGTGAATTCAAATGTATAGGATTAGTCCAGTAAGATAGAGCATTTTGAAAGCCTATATGAAATTATAGAACCATGTTTGTGAATTCAGGAATAACATACATAACAAATTGTAGTAGTTGCTTCAGACAGGTACTAATGGATTCTGTATATTTGGAGATATGTGGCTTAAATAGACATATTTCCTCTGTAAGTGGATAAGGTCTTCACTAACAAAATAGTTGCATTGGAATAAAAATCTACTCCAGTCCATACCAAATTTCCAGGTGCAGACCAAATTCCTACTATCTTATTCTAAGGCTAGAGTAACTTTTTAAAACTTTTGACAAAAGTGGACATTTATAGAAATGTTTGGTTGGAGGGAATGGTTTGTGTCTCTTTCCCTTTTGTAGTTTATGCCTTCATTTTGCTGGAGTGTATCACCCAGTACCTTCCTTTGATAAGATAGTATCTTTTTGTTGTTGAGATTCTGAATGTCTGAAACTCTATTATTCTACTCTTCAGTTTTGCAGTGTGGGTGTATAAGAGATTCTAAGTTTATAAACTTTCCCTTAGACTTTCCTTCATATGTTGATTTCCTAAATGGTTCTTTTCAGTTTCCTGCCAGTTTTTCATGTGTCTGTTTTGTGTGTGCATTCTGAGAGAACTTAGTCAACTTTATCTTCTAAACAATCTACTACATATTTTGTTTGCTATTTCTCCTTTTTTTTTATAGCACTCTCTTTTCATTTCATAGATGTACTAGCTTATGTCTTTGAAGATAATCCAAATTTCTGTACTCATAGTCTCTTCCCTGCATTTTCTCTTGTTTTCTGAGTTCTCTTTGTTTATTTATTTGCATGTTACTTTTGTTGCCTTTCATGCTAGAAACTGTCATCACACTGTCCATCATATTTAGGAAAGGGGCACTGCAAAGAAAAGTGGGAGCTCTGTATGACTGAGTGGGGCTTTTTGACTGGTGAGTTCACTACAGGAAGATAGAGGGAAAACCTGACTGTTAGTCTCAGTGACTCACAGATGTCAGTCTCTCTGTATTTTCTCTTTGGCTATTTTGTTTCTCCAGGAAGAGAGAAATGTCACCTTGCTCTTTGTGGCTTCCTCTCTGTAGATTTACACGTATGTTTCAGCTTTCCCCTCTTTAGATCATCTCTAAGTTTTCCATATTCTAAAATAATGTTGGCAGTCCTTGTCTCCTGTCCTATCTTTGTTCTGCAAGAATATATGCATATATGTATTTAATGTCCATATGTAGAGAGAAGCCTTCATGGAGAAGGTAGTAAGTGAACTCTACCTTGAGGGATGTTTACTCTTCAGTCAGGGGAGAAGGCAGAGTAGGGGGAGAAACCTTCCAAAGAGAGGAAAAGAACATGGAAAATTGGTTACTATAATGCATATGATTGAATGGACAACATTGTTCAATCATCTGCCTACATATTTTCCTAAGAGTAATGTTTGTTCTCTAAGGTTGTACGTAGGCTTAATCAAGCTGAATAGATGGAATACCTTGATAAAACACTCTTGATTCCTTCAGGCAGTTTGTTCCAACATCTACTATTCCAACAATGTATGTCACATGACTATTTCACTCATATGAAATGTAGTGAATTCATAACATGTGATACTTTCATGAAAATTGTTGATATTATTAGGAGGAAAAGAATTGAAGATACCTCTCCTGATAATCTTACTGAAGAATAAAGTAATGATAATGTACATGGTTAACAAAATTAGGTTTTCACTTAGTTACACTGATGGGCCAATTCAGATATAAATGACTTTCCATTTGTTGGAAGGACTACATGGAAGTCACTTACATGTACATTTATGATATGAAGGATTAAACTTACACTTTCATGACAGTGGAGTTACAAAAAACATTTAATTCATTTATATCTCCATGTAGGTAAATTTCAAATAAGTATTTTTTTTATATTTTGAAACTTGAATAACTTCTTGTTTACATGCGTAAAAGTTAAGTGTAAAACTAATACGTGGTCATTGTAAAAAATCTGGGAAATTAGCAAATATAAAAAATCAAAAGAATTTAATTACGCCACTTTTCAAGGATAGCTATTTTAATACTTGGTTTAGTTATTTCTCCCAAACACACAATAGAGAGCTTACTACTTTTCAAATTCACTATAGTGTGAACTATCCCCATTTCATTAAATTGTCTTTGAAAGTTTGAATTTAAATGAAGGCACACTGAAGCTTGGATTAAAAGACCATTTTGATTTTTATAAAGTCCAATAGCATTTGTTAGTCATTCTCTCTCAAATCTAGCACTGAGGAGAAAGGTGTTGAGGGGCCTGCGGAGGCTGAAGTGTGTGAGTGGGGCCAGCAGGGGTTGCTGTCCTGGGTGAGGCTGCGGCATTCCTGGTGTCTCTGACCTTGGACTCACTTAACATTCTAGTCTGGATTCTATTAAAGGAATTTTGTGTTTTCCCTTTGCAAGAGTCACCCCCTACCATGACAAATATTTTAAAATGTTTCTTAAAAAAAGTTGGAAAAGCAACTTTTTCCCAAAAGAAATTTATAGTTCAAATTTACACCAAGTTCTCACTAACTGGAGCAAGCCGTTTTCAGTAAAGCTTCGACTCTCCTCTGTAAAACATTAGTCACTCCCTTGGAAGAAGCAGTTTTTTATAGGCAGTGGGATAAAACAGCCACAGATGTTCATGTAATATGATGGGCTTTAGAATGTACCTGCAAAGCTTTTTTTTTTTTTAATTTGGAGGAAAAAAGATGAAAGAAAAAAGACTGAATTGGGATGCTAAAATAACAGTGATTCAGTATTAAGGAAATGATAAGTTTCTGATCCATTCAAATAGTGTTTTCTTTTCCCCTTTCCTTTATTCTTGGGACGTTCTTGACGTTGTGCCAAGTCGTTTCCAGTGCACAGTATTTTAAAGGTATCTGCCATTCCCATGTGTAACTGATTGCTTTTTTTACTATGCAGGACTGTCGTGAAACCTGTGGCCCAAGAGTTTGATCCAGATATGGTCCTGGTTTCTGCTGGATTTGACGCATTAGAAGGCCACGCCCCTCCTCTGGGAGGGTACAAAGTGACAGCTAAATGTAAGTAATAGACAGCACTTTTTCTATGTGTATAGTAAACTTAGGTGAGACTTTGAAAAATGATTCAGATGGTGTTTATTGCTCTGTCAGATTCACCCCTCTGTAAAAATTGACCTTTAAGAAAACCAAAGTTGAACCTTCGATGGACTTGAAGGGACATTTCAGAACCTTTATGTTTTTCAGGAGTTTTGTTTTGCTACTTAAAGGCAGAAATGATTGAGCTTCTGTTTAAAATACGTTAAATGACTTAAGAGGTTGTGAGTCTAGAAAAGCTACTGGGCTTTTGAACGTAGAATGGAAGTCACTGCTTGTCTTTCATTGGGCATGGGGTAAAAGTAGCTGCTCCCAATAGCACTGTGCTCTTCTGGGTTTGAACACAAGAGTATAGTCCCCCTGCTCAGACGCTCTGCACATGCCTCTGGGCAACACTGTTAGTCTTCTGTCATATTGCAAAGATTCACTTTTTGACTGTGTTCCTTAGTAACTAGACATCAAATGAACAAATGAATTTTGTGGTATATTGCATTTGAATAACATGACCTAATGGAACATGATTAGAAAGAGGCTTTCTTTAAGAAGAACTTCTGTGCTCTCCAAGTATGAAAACAAGGCATACATGTAGCCCACGCATGCAAACGTATTCCTGCACTCTGGATTTCTATAAAAATAGAAGGAAAAAAGTAAAATTACACTAAGAATAGGATACACTATTGTGTATTTTAATGGAGGTTGAGAAGAAACAAATCAAAAACAACCCAAATAGTTTTAAGTAAGATGAGTTTGGAGCAAGTGTGTTTTATTAATTTGAAAAGAACCAAAGAATCAGTATTATGCCAACCTTTGTTTAAAATTGGCTTCTCATGTGAGAGAATGTTCTGCACTCTAATTCTTCCAGTAACATTATTAGGTAGTAGCTATTTTTAACGTCTGTTTTTTACCCAGTGTTCTTGGTGCCTTGTTGGCTGTTGAAAATATATTAAGAGGCAACTCCACAAATATAAATAAAGCATAATTTGCAATTTTGGTAAAAGTGTATAGAGAGATGTTTGGTCAAATCAAATGTCTTTATTATCCTTTTTCTTTCTTCATGGAATTCCACTCAAATGGAAGTCAGTCTTTGCACTGCAGATAAACCTCATTTGGGTCAAGACTGGAGAATTAGTTTAGACTAAATAAAGGGGAAAAAACTTGTACCCTAAATTGAGATAAACCCAAACAATAGAAAACACATGGAGCAAAGACAGAAATCTAGAAAAGGTGTCCCTTGCCATTAAATCCAATAATCTCCCTCAGGACAGAGGAATGTCTGTATTTGAGTCTTTCTCCCTGCCAAGGGGAAAAGTTGTAACAAGTCCATTTCTCAGAACTGGCTGGAAGGAACTAATCTTTTTGTTTGCTTGTTTATTTGTTCAATTTTTTGCCAAGTCAAATTCAAACTCATATCTCAAATATCATCTTGGAAGTCTCAGCCTCTTGTTGGCTTTAGTATATACACCAAGACCTCCGTTGTGTTGTGTTTCTTTGTCATTTGAGGGGAGGCTTTTCATTTTTTTCTATCCCACGATAAGTTTATCTATAATCCCTCCAGGCCCTTATTCCTCCTTATCAGTTTCTTCAGTTCTGTGTCTTTCTATTCAGCAGATCCTTGCTTCCTTACTAGGTGACTTGTTTCCTAAAAAAACAGACAGACATGAATTTTAAATGATTTAATCATTGACTGTTCGTTGAGTATTTACAGTTTAGGGAAGAGATGTACAATGAAGAGAGGAAATGTTTGAACCCAAAGAGGTTGTAATAGAGGCTATCTAAAACAGTTCACATATTTCATAGATGAGAAAATGAATTTATTTTACCATCTGAAATAACTGGGGTTAAAACCAAAGTGCTTACTCTGAATTTATAGTTAGATGAAGTTGTGTAAGGCTTTTACTGGATTTTTTCCAAGAAGAAAAATGTTTCATAAAATGCATGAGAATGGAGAAATTATATGCACACTACCAAGCCCATTATGGTGCCCAAGACCTTTAACTCCACAAGCAATCTGTGACAGATACTGAATAGTCCCATGATACTTAAATGAAAAACAACAGAACATCGTATCTGAGCAACTGTTTGTATATATCATCTCATGCAGGCCTGAGTTTGCCAGCTTTATTTTCTAGAGATTCTTCCACAATAACTGGGCAGAAGTTAGGATTACTGAAACACTGTATAGTTATTCCCCAAATAGCTCATGCTTGGGTCTCTCTTTTTTTTTTTTTCTTTCTTTTGTCTTTCTAACCACCTGGCAGATGCATTTATATTGCTTTGGTCTGGACAGGCAATTAACATTGGTCCAGAAGTCATTCTCCATTTGAGGAGAGTCCCAAAATGCTCCTAGAAATGGGCTAAAACCTGAAGTAAAAAGTAGACAGAAATTAAAGAAACAAATTCCTTTCCTAATGTTTTTCCCGTTTCTGCAAAACTCACCTCTGCCCCGAGTAGAATGTTTAAGGAATTTAGAGAGTGGTTTTGAGAATACTATCTTGTCAGAGATGCTAAAATTTTATTGTCTTAGCACATTGAATAAATCCTCTTAAATTTTTTGTTTGATAACTCTGAAAGGGGAAGATAAATTAAGTCAAGCTAACAAATGTTTTCATTTGTTTTTAAACATCTTTTAAACTCTCTTTTTTTAAGAATTGATTGGTACTATGACAAAAGTCTCAGCTTGAATATGGAGGTGATTTAAAATTAAAGTTGATTCTTGGCTAAGACTGTTTCTCTTCTTTCCTCTTTTCTCCTCTCATTTCTTTACATATTATGTGTTCTCTACTGTGAAACTATAATAAGAATATTCAGATTTGCTTGTGCTGAATTTTTAAATAAATTATCTGAATTAGTTATTTGAAATCTATACTGTTCTTTCAGTTAACAACCAGGATTAAGGTCCAAGCTGAAAGGAGTAAGTATCTTTGTGTTCTACTCTAAACCTTACATCAAACTACCTTGAAGTTATCAGTTTACCTTTTTAAATACTCTCATTTGGATCTTACTGTCTTCAGGTTACAGTTTAAGAAGGTTGGCATGACAACTAAGTGCCATATCCAGACAATAAAACTGATTCACCATATTGCAGGACCCTCTTAACAGTGTTGCTTAACAGTGTTGTCACCATTAAAAAAAAATTCTTTAGTTCAAATTCATTTTACAACAAACATATTTTTTCTTCCTTTTTAATGTATTTGTTTATTTTCTACTTTCTATGGCTTCAGGTAGTGAACTCATACATGCAAATTACTTTTATCATGTGGATGAAGAATTGTCCTTTCTTTGGAAAAAAAGCAGAAATCATTGCAAGATGATTTTTTTGTGAGATGGTAGCCATGGGTGATTAAAAAAATGTTTTTAAAAAATAAACATAGAGTGGTTTTATAGTCCTCTAGATAGAAACCATTTCCCTCAGCAAATGCACAAGTGTTATTTTGACAAATAAAGAATAGATAATAGTTGGGAAAAAATCAAATAACATATCTTAGGGTTTTGAATTACCATCTTTTTCTTGATAGAATGATTTATCCTTTTTAGTGGTCTTCTCATTCCTTCCCCCTCTTCCCCACACTGTGAGTATGTGTCTGTCAGGGAGCAACACTCTTGTGGAGCACATACATGTAAAAATGAATTTGTTCTCAGTTGTGAATTATTCTTAGGGAAGGACAAAAATTCCTTGAATTGTCAATCCTCCAGAAATATCTAAGAAACTGAGTACCAAATCAGTCAACAAATAAGTGCCAAAAAACAACTTCCTTAAACATGTGAGGCTATGTTGATCTGCTTCATCTGCTAATGGTTGATGTATGTGCATCCCTCATGTGTATTCAAGGATGTGGTTGAGTGTCCTCTGCCTACACATTTTATTTGTCCCCATTGTTGAAGGCAGACTGAGCCAAAACTAAGTACATTTTTTTTCTTGTTTTTCCCTCACTGGTGATTCTTTTCCTACCTTAGAATGTCCATGGCTTTACTTTAAGAGATAGTTTTAAGAAAATACTGCTTTAATTTATGTAAAAGACTGATCTGCCTATATTTTCCTCTATGAGTTCTAGGAGTTTCATAGTATCTGGTCTTAAATTTAGATTCTTAGGCCATTTTGAGTTTATTTTAGTATGTAGTCTTACAGAATGTTTTAATTTCATTCTTTTACATGTAACTGTCCCATTTTCCCAGAACCACTTAGTGAAAAGATTATCTTTTCTCCATTGTATATTCTTGCCTTTGTGATAGATTAATTGATCATAAGTGCATGGGTTTATTTATGTGCTTTCTATCCTGTTCCATTTATCTGTATGTGTGCGTTTGTGCCAGTACCATGCTCTTTTGTTTACTGTAGCTTTGTAGTACAGTCTAAAGTCAGGAAGTGTGATTCCTCCAGCTCTGTTCTTCTTTCTCAAGGTTGTTTTGGATATTCACAATCTTTTGTGTTTTCATACAAATTTAAAAATTATTTATTCCAGTTCTGTGAAAAATGCCATTGGTAATTTAATAGGGATTACAATGAATCTGTAGACTGCCTTGGGTAGTACGATCATTTTAATGATATTGATTCTTCCAGTCCAAGAACGTGGTATATCTTTCCATCTGTTTGTGTCCTCTTCAATTTCTTTCATCAATGTCTTACAGTTTTCAGATTACAGATCTTTTGCCTCCTTAGGTAGGTTTCCTCCTCGGTGATAGTTTTTTTTGGGGGGGGTGGATAATTAGGTTTACTTGTTTTTAATGGAGGTACAATGCTTTTTTAAAAAATGAAGCATCATTATTTTGTGATGAGGATACCTCAGGCCCTGGCTGTCTTAAAGCTGTGCACTTTGTCTTGGTATATTGAGGTGTGCTTGGATCTTGACATTAATATGCTGATGCAGAATAAATTATCTAGCAATGCTTCTTTTTAGCAACCAAACTATCTGAAGCACAGTTAAGAATTAGAAAGTAAAGAGAAGAACTTCCAAAATGCAAAACTAGAT